CTGATCGTATGATCATCCAATGATTAGACTCTAATCGTCTAACATCAGTCAGCCAGTTAGCTTGGCTGTCCGTCCATGCACTTGTACGTCGATCATTTAGTGCCATTTTGTTTCTATGTTTTTCTTCTATTTTTATGATGAATGTGATTCGAAGCAACAACAACAAACATGTTGTTATAGCTATTGCTATTAGTGTTGTTGCTTTTATTGTTGCTGTTCTTATGATCATTTGATAATAATTGTACTGTAATTAAATTGATTGCTGGCAATTAAAATTTCGTTTTTCATTTGTCTGCGTTTGTGTTTACTAATTTTCATTGGTTTTATTATTGTTGTTAGCATGTCTTGAGTATGCAGTTGTTTTTTCTATGCATTTAATTGCTTGTGATTCGCTGCGATTTGTTTTTATTTGTACTTACTGTTAGCTACGCTACTTACATACATATATACACATACATATACATACATATGTATACTAGGGATGCCAATCTCGGGATCCCGGTGTTTTTGACGTCCCGAAAATGTTAAATATCGAATTAATAGTAAGAACTTGTGTATGAATTTGAAGTATGATTTTTTTTAAAATGCCGTTTTGCAGCCTGAGACTTTTTTTTTTAAGGAAGATTTAAATGACCGTACTCTTAGCGTCGCTAATGTAAATGAAACAGAGAGTTTTAAGGAGAAGTTACATAATTTTTTAAATCAATCTACTCAGACTTCCTCAAATCGAGAAACTTATAATTTATCCGACGTGCTGGTAAAACAAGTTGAAATATTTTGAAATAGAGGATATAGGGGTCATTATCTTTAAATGGCTTATGAGTACCTTTTGACAGTTCAGCCTAAAAGTGTTGAGACCGAAAGATGTTTTTCATCAGCAGGATTTTGTATGTAATAGCTACAGGTCAAGATTAGAAGACTACGTTTTCAATGTTTTGTTGGTCCTAAATACGTCACATTTTATTTAAGAGCTCTCACGAAATCGGTCAAGAAAAATTTGCCATTATTTCGTGTGTGTATCCAAGGAATTTTGACATTTTTGATACTTCACAGCCTGTTGCCTCACTCTTTCCTCAAGAAATAATGGAACGGGCATATATTTCTGTTGCAAGCCTGGGTTGCCTTGTGCTCGTTTTTCACAAAAAACTTTAGAAAACCGTAGTAAAAAGCGTAGCAAATTTCTTAAGAACTGCGTACTGTGTGAAGGAAATTTGACTCAAGAAAATTTCTTAGCAATTTCTTGTACGTCATTTTGTATGGAAAATTAGCTTTTCTTGAGAACTGCATACAGGCCTTTAATAAGAAAATTTGGGTTTGTAGTAGCGTGGGCCGCGAATCCGCTTTTCTGTGTTTCTATTTCTAATAGAAAAAATATGGTTCATTATGCCCTAAAAACTCACTGCGAAAGATGAAAAATTTTGGTCAATATCAGACTCGCCCAAGTCTATTAAAATTAAATGTGCTAACAAAAAAATTCTTAGTTATTTCGATCACAAATTTAATGCTCTACAAAAAAGGACCAATACTTTCAGAGATAAATGTAATTTTAGTAAAATAAATTTTAATAAATATATTTATTAATTTTTCATTTTCTTTAATATTTTTTACTTTTCTTTTATTTTTTTATTACATAGCCGATGTACCTGCATACCCAAAATTTTTCTAAAAATTCAGACGAAAAAGTTAAAAATTTAGATAAAAATTTTACTCATGTGGTTTTGATTTAAGCAGAAACTATACCCTTTATAAAAAATAGCAAAAAAATTGTAACTTTAAAAACATTGCAAATATTTAACAAAAATACCATGCACTCACTTTTGATCGCCAGTGTATGCGTTGGTCAATCACGTGGTTTTTAAAAACAATTAAAAAATGTATTGCCTTAAGATTTGTCCATATTAATAAATATGTGAGTTTTACAATCAGTTTATCATAAATTTTAAATAGTTTATTTTCTTAGTATATTTAATTGTTTTCAGTTATTGAATTTTTACTCATATTCATAAAAGTTATGTCTCAATATGAAACCCGGGATAAATCTGGGATTAGTTAAAAAATATCCCAAAATCCCGGGAACACATTTTTCCGCATATTTTGGCATCCCTAATGTATATGTACATTGTATATATTCATTCATTCAAACTTTCAATAGTATTTACGACGATGTGCGTCTATGCTACTTTGCAATAAAAATGTTTATAGCATTTGTTTTTTTTTTATTGCAGTAACAAAGTATGCAATAGATAAATATAAATCGATTTTTATTTTCTATTACTTAGTATTGATCACTTATTCTCAAATTACTCATATTTGTATTTTAGATACATTCTCAACAAGCTCATACGGTTTTTCTTATAAGGGCTACTGTATCAAAACCTCAACAATCAGCTCAAATATTTTATATGTTTTTTCTTTCAACAACTTTTTTTCAGAGACTATGGATACAAATTATATTACTATAAGAATTTTAAATCAAAATGAACGTAGTGAGAAAAATATAATCCTCTCTCATTGCTGAACATGATTTAATCATGGCGTAAAAAACGTGACTTTTATTAATAATTTCGCTATGTGTATCGCATCGTACAAAAAAAAATGTAAGCACAAAAGTTTTGGAGAATGAAATTCTCTAAAACTTTGGAATTTCAATATGCTATGTATTTTCAACAGAATTGTCAAAAAATGGCGAAAACCGAGACAATGTAAAATTTTTGTTCAGTGTTTACTATTTTTTTACAATAAAAAATGCTGTCTTTAAAAAACCTTCTTTATAACAAATGTGGTAAATTTAATTCTCTACCTATTTGTCTATAACCACTTTTTATGAAAAATGCAAAATTAGCTTGCAAATCGCAAAAAACCAAAAAAAAAAACCACAAAATACAAGATGACGGAATGTTGCGATACTGTGGATCCACGATCTACGTGTCAAATAGAAGTAAACTGCATCAAAAAATCGCTGCCATAATTTTTTTTTTAATTATCCTACCAAATTTAACAAATTTTTCTGGGCTAATCGCTGTTTCGCACGTTCTAAGCGTCGTACAAAAAAAAATTGAGGTGTAAAAGTTGTGAAGAATGAAATTCTCTACAACTTTGGAATTTCAATATGCTATGTATTTTCAACAGAAATTGTCAGAAATGCCGGAAACCGTGACAATGTAAAATTTTTTGCAGTTTTTGCTAATTTTTCACAATAAAAATGCTATTTTTAAAAAAACCTTCTAAATAACAAATGTGGGAAATTAAATTCTCTACATATTTGTATATAACTATAATATAGTTATAACAATTTATATTATAACAATTTTCTACAGAAAGTGCAAAAAAAACTTACAATTTGGAAAACCAAAAAAAAAACTTAAATCCAAGATGGCGAAATGTTTCCAAATGGAATTTAAGGGCAAGACTGGATCCATGATCTATATGTCAAATAGAAGTAAACTGCATCAAAGAATTGCTGTTACAATTTTTTTTTAAGAAAAAGTCTAATTTTAGTGGACTAAGGGCCATTTTCTGAAGTAACCTTTAAATTTAAAGCTCACTTTATATCTAAAGGTTGGATTAAAAATAAAGCTATGTCTAATGTTAAGCATTTCTATTATCGGTTTTTGACGTATGTCTGTTTCTTGGTTGTAAATCAATTTAAAACCGACAATAAAATGATTTACTTTAGACACAATCATAAATTTTAATGTAGCCTTTAAATATAACGTGAGCTTTAAAGCTAAAGGTTACTTCAGAAAACGGCCCTAAGAGTATTTAGTAAGTACGCCTACGTGCTTTTGAAGTATATCGATAACTGTCGGCCGCTGTGGTGTAGTTGTAAGCAGTGCGCGCATTCACTCATCAGCACCTGGGTTCAAACCCTGGTCAAAGCAACATCGCAAAAAAATATAGAAAAAATGTTTTTTCTTAACAGCGGTCGTCCCTCGGCAGGCAATGGCAAACCTCCGAGTGCATTTCTGCCATGAAAAACAGCTTCTCATAAAAATACAATCGCCGTTCGGAGACGGCGTAATACTGTAGGTCTTTGTGTGACAACATCAAGGCGCACGCCACAAATCGGAGGAGAAGCTCGGCCAAACACTAACATATGTGTAAGCGCCAATCTATTATATTATTATTATCAGTGCACCTATCGATAAAAATAGCTGCATCAATCGATAAATATCAAATAATATTTCGATAATTATCGATTACTGACAAATCGTTTGACGAATGTTTTAATAACAGTATTGAAAAAGAATGAGACCAAGAATTTCTACCTAAAAAATTGGATGAGCTTTTTGTGAGTGCATTTATTTTTAACCGACTTCACAAAAAGGAGAAGGGATAGTTTTTTTTTACCTTCCTTTTATTAGCTCGGAATGTAACTATGTAATCTTGATGCGCCTAGAAGATGCAGCAATTTCTATTCTCAAGTTACATACCACCACCATGACAGTACGAAAGGCAATTATAATAGGGAGGTTTTAGTTTTTTAAACTATAATTTTATTTTAACTTTGGACCGCGCTAACCGATTTCTATAAAGGAAAGGTGCTACCTCACAGGTAGTCCCATACTAATTCATCACGATCATGAAGAAATTAACGGTAATATAAAATTTGTATATGACAATTGAAGTCGATTTTGTTTTTCTGTTTAAAAATTACGTGTTTTTATGCGAAATTGATTGGAATCAAATGAAAAATAATTGAAAAAGCGAAAATAATCACTTGAAAACTATTCGATAAGTGTGTATATTTGCGGTAAATATATTGTACATATTTACACATCTATGCATATATGTGTTTATAATATAAAAACTTTATATACATATATCTACATACATACATACATATTTCACATCATGAATATTTATAGCTATTTCTCTTGTAATTTTATCGCTACTAATAGTCATTTCATTTCCTATGTGAGTTATAAATATTTATGACTTTCTTGATAATTATTTTACCATATTTTAACTGTTTCTGTTGTTTTGCCGTCCACTTGCAGGCACACCCATCAATCGTTTACCAATAATGGCGAAATCCGTTTTAGATTTATATGAATTATATAATTTGGTCATAGCACGTGGCGGTCTAGTTGATGTTATCAATAAGAAATTATGGCAGGAAATCATAAAAGGACTACATTTACCATCGAGCATAACGAGCGCTGCATTCACGCTGAGAACACAGTAAGTATTTGAGATTTTTTTTTTACACTAAAACAACCATGACCAGAGAAAGCTTTTACTTAGAGCACTTACATACAAAATGAATCGAAATCTTAAGATGCTCCACAGATTGGCCTCTTATTAGATTAAAATCCTTTTTCTGAATTTGGGCCGTGATGGGGACAGAGCTTTTAGACTACGAAGAAGTAGAAAATTTTATGCCTTTATAACAGTCTCGACCAGAATATATGCCGCTGAAGAAGCTTTAAAAAGCTTTCTATAGGTGATTTGCACGACAGTACAAAATATAATGAACGCTTAACATGCTATGCAGGCGGGCAAGCAGGTGCCATCATAGGTCTATCTAAAACAGTGATGACACGGAAAGCTTTTAATCTTTGCGAAAACTTTAAAAACTATCGACCGCGGACTACATTTATATAAAATGTATGGTGGCCAAAAGCTTTTTTAGGCTTTATATTGATTTTATATCAGTAATGAAAAGAGAGAGTTTTCACGTTTTGCAATTATTAGTTTATATCACAACTAAAACCAATACCGGTGGCGAAACTTTCTATAGATTTTTATGAACTTGCACAGAGTAAAAGCTCTCTTTGGTCATCGCAAGTTTATATAAATTATATAAAAAGCCTAAATGTCCATCATCATTTTGTGTGGATCATACTTTAGGCACAGTCGGCGGAAGAATTTCATTAACGCTTTTTGTAGATTTTATATGCAGAGGTAGGCGTAGTGTAGAGATCTTTTTTTTTAATGTATAGAAAACTTTAAACAGCTTATCTAGCGGAATTTGTTATCGTCGTAACTGACACAAATGCTTGAAAATAAAAGATTTCTCAGGCCCCCACAGACTTAGCGGGTTATGGGAGCAGATTGAGCAAAATGGTCGTAGAAATCATTAATCCTATTAAGGATTAAGCTTCGTAAGTTTATGTCCTCACTGGCTTTTAGAAAGTGGGTAAACTGTTTTAGAGATCATAAAGCTTCGTCAAAGCTTAGGTGGATCTAATGCGAACACCAAAATGCCTTAAGGCTCGTTGTTTGTAAAAATTTTGCTCTTTTTTCGAACAATAATTTATTACTTTAATATATTTTAAGAAAGGTTATAATTCCATAGCAATTAAATTTTGTTGGCGCGTGTATCTCCATTTTTGCAAGAAAAAAAGTATGTAATAAACGAATCGTCAACAACCAGTATCCGCAGTAGTAAAGCACAGCAATGTGAAACGTCTTGTTGGCCGCAGTTACTGCTACTGCTACATACTACATTATTGTTGTCTCGAATTGACGACACATTTTATGTGACAGACATTTGACCGCGCCCTTTTCGTTCATCGTCGCGCACCCTGCGACCAGCTATGGGCGGTAACTGCAGAAAGCCACCAACTGTCTAACGAACAAACTATTATGCAGTTGCATGCCACAAATATTGGAAAAATACTTGCGACCGCAAATATATGCTGGCTGCAACGATTTCTATTGCATTTTATTTATTTTGAAATTTGTTTCTTTTATTTGTGCTGACACAAAAGCAGCTTGTGGCTGGCTGCTTGCTAACTGGTGTCTAGACGTCAGCAGCAGCGGCAATCAATTATAAAAATAAGTTATGTTTTGGTTGCAGCTACATACATATGTATGTATGTATGTATGTATGTATGTCCTGTGCATACACATTGTGGCATGCAACAATGTGGCATGATGAGTGGTTTATAATTACAAAAAAGTGGAGAAAAAATGGAAAAGCTTTGCTTTAACTGTGCATACCAAACAATTTTATGCGTATACGCCATGGTGGTCCCACTGAGGCTGGCGTGTGGTTGCCAACGCCCCGAATAACAGTTACTAGCAGATATTTTTTTTATAATTTTAGTCAACGCATATGATTTGCATTGCATGCTGAGTCTGTGTCTATCTCACAAACAAGACGGAACAGCTTTTTTTCGAAATTTTTTTTTTATGTATGTACATACGTTAGGGTGGAGCAGAAACAAAAAATTTTGCGTTTCAAAATTTTAAGAGCATTACATTTTTTTGTAACCGATTAATACTTCCTGCCTCCCCTTTTCGAATTAAATTTTGAGATTTTTTGAATTCTAAAGAAAAAATTTAAGTACGCAGTTTTGATGGCTATTAAAATTTGTATAATAAAGTGAAAGTTTAAAGTTACACGAAAATGCAGCAGATTTTTTAATTGTTTTTATTATTTTTTTGTTTGATGGTTGTACGCAGAAAAAAATTGTTAAAAATCAAGCGTAATTTTTAGCTGCTTCTAGAGGCAAAAAGTATTAGACCGTTTAAAAAAAAATATATAGAGGTATTCTATTGACGTCCAAAAGCAATAATTCCCCGTGACTAGAATTTCTAAACGCACAATTTTTTGTTTACGTTCCACCCTACTGTACATATATGTGCGGAAAAGTTAGTTAACCCTACTTTACCAATTTATCGCCTAACCAATTTTACATTGCTGCTGAATTTTCGCATTCTACACATAATACATATCATTCGCCTAACTACGCCCCCCTCCCCAGCCGTCTATGTCACTTTGTTGTAGATACTGCAACAGCAGCGTCTCCTTCTTCGGCCAGCAGACAATAGTTCGCAATTTTTAGTACTCATGCCATAATTTGCAATTGCTAATAACAGCTCATAAAAATGTTGGCTTTATTTGTTGCCATTCGCATTTATGTCTGCCATGGTGCAAATAACTAAATATCTATAAGCAACATTTGCGCTTTTGTGTACAAACTAAGAAGTATGTTTGTAGGAATGTATGTATGTATGCATTGCTACTGCTAAGTACCAATACTCTCACACACGCAAACAAGTACATACACAAGCACAGCCAAGCACACAAGTGTTTATTTGAAAGCTTTTGACAGCCATAAAGCACCCAATAGTACCTAAAAAGCGTACGAAAATTAACTAAAATGTCACATTTTGCGTTTTACTGTACACAAGCATATTTTCTGAATGTGTGTGTGTGTGTGTGTATATATGAGCTTTCTTAGTAAGTGTTTTCTGTTTCTTTCATATTTTTTGCTTTTTGTTTTTTTTTCTGGTCGGTTACGCCTCACATAAAACACATTTGTAATAGCAATAGTACTCATTTATGGCTGCCGCTTTGTGGTTTTTGGTGCAGAGACTTTAATTAAATTTCAATTTTAACTTAAATTATTACACCGCATTAAGATGGCTCATTGTGGGAAATAGTTGTGGTAGATAGTACCCGTAAGTGTGAAAATTTTCTCACACCTAGAAACAGGTGTATTTTACATATAGTATGTATGTATATTGAATATTAAATAGAATGCCCGCCCTCACCATTAGCTAGAGAAATAACTGCTTTATCGGCTGCTGTGAAAGTCTCCCCTATTTAGAATCGTATATAACAGTGTTGGCCAGTACCTCGCTGTATACTGTATATAGAGTAAAGTTCATACTGCCTATCACTGGCGGCTAACGTTAGTTCGTCTTCTTATACATATTTCAGTAGAATTCGCCTCGACTATCCTGCCCTATCACCGAATATAAGAAAAAACGTTCCTTGACTTTGTAAGAGTATCCAATCGGATCGAAATCTGGGGGTATACCTGCATACATACATATGTAGCAAGTACCTGTATATTCAAAAACGCTTTAAGCTATCATCTGAGTTTATTTTTTATAAAAATATTTTTGAAAACTTATTTTATTAAAAAAAAAAAAACTAGATTTTTGGAGGTGTTGTTAAATTGCTTCAGCTCACGTAAATCTTAATAGTTTTCCAAAATATTTTGGCAGACGTCTTAAAATATAATTAACTTTATAATTCCGATGGAAAAACAGTACCGATTTTTTGGCATTTAGAGTGATACATCCTAACGTACATTTGTATGAAAAGGCTAACTGATAGCAAAAAGCTTTTCGTATCACATTTTTGATTTTACGCTGACCAGGGATCAATTCTTGGGTCTACCGGGTGTTAATATGTACCTCTAACCACTCGGCACAGGCGGCCACTCTTCTTCGATCTTAAATATCTAAAATATTAGCTGTACCAGGAAAAAAGTTCGCCGTGGGTCCGACAAAAATAAAAAAAAATTTTTTCGTGATTACCTTGCAAAAATACTTTAAACTCAGGGGTGTACGGCAAACTTTTTTTGTTTGCTTATAAGATGGTACAGTCTAATGTACATACATACATATGTATGTATGTAGATTTCCAGTTGATTAATTAGACTAATTTTTCTCATGAGAAATAGTCTCTTACATATGGCCGTGAAATACCAAGTATACACCACATACATTTACATTCCTTTACACATAGTTATGTAAAATTTTAATTATAAATATCACATTAGTTATCACCTAACTAATGAAAAAACAAAAAACAAGCACTGAAGCGGAAGAGACAATAATAATCGCTTAGAGTAAATACGAAATATGTACAAATTGACATTGGAATTGAATTTATGAATGTGTTTTTATCTCCAACACTCATACAAAGAAAAATTTTTAAGAAGAAATACAAATGGCAACAAAAAGTGACTTTGAAGGCGACCGACTGAGATTGAAATTGCGAGTAAATGGCGTTCATAACGACGGCGCTTGTGCTTTGGCTTATGAATGGATTACATTTATAGGAAAATTAAAAAATGGCCACCAATCAGCATTGGAATTGATTGCCAATAAAAAAATATGATTTTGAAATACTGCTAAACCTTAAGCCATATTAGAGGCGTTAGCAAAACAATAATTGAATGGTATTGAAGCATAATAAATATGTAACTAAATATACATACAAATGTATATATGTATATGTATGTGCTTGTATACATACCTATAAGGTATGCAGCGTACATATGTATTCGTATTGACTTCTGCGGTGATTAAGAAAAAACCTAAAAATATGAAGGTGCATACAAACAATGCAACTTTTTTCAAAATTTTGTATGGCCATACGTGTTGGAGCAGAATTTCGTTGCGTATTAAATTTTTGTATGTGTAATTTGCAAATA